CAGGACTAGTGTTAGTGTCGACCCCTGTAGTAGTCCAGGACTAGTGTTAGTGTTAACCCCTGTAATAGTACAGGACTAGTGTTAGTGTCGACCCCTGTAGTAGTCCAGGACAAGTGTTAGTGTCGACCCCTGTATATAGCTCTCATCTCGACATATCTGGCGTTATTGTTGTTGGGAATCTGCATTTCTTTGACACTTAGTTCATGCAATCACAGGTAATGAGATTAAGAATGTATTATTTAACACTGCATTTCACAAATCTCACTTCATTATGTAATTGGCTTACATATTTGGAGGAATTGTGAGATTATAATACAAAGATTACATAATTATTTCATGTGCAAGGTGTTCATTTCAATAATGTTTTGTTCAGTTAAGGTTAAACAAGGCACTTGTGGGCTTGTCATTCCATCTTTAGGATTAAAACTACCTTTTTATATGTCCTTGGATGATATTTTATATTACAGTAGACCCTGTGGTGGTTCCCCAATTAACTTTTCCTTATCGTTTCTCTCCTAGTTCCATCATTCAAAGACGTATTTTGAAGAAACTTGATACAAATATTTCATATACATAGAGATAAAAAAGCTCTTTCTTTTTTTGAATTTTTTTGGAATCTTAGCCTTTTCTGACCCTTTATTTATTTTTGATACCAAAGTTTGTCTGGAGCATAAGTTCATTGCTATTTCACCCTCATTCATCAAGGTAGATAGTATCTGAGGAAGGTGGTTTGTGGCCTATATCCCATGCCCCTATGTTGATAGAGTTATGGCCCTTTATCATACTAATATGGAAGTCTGCACACATTATCGTTTTGGTACTGATAAACCAGTTTGGGAGACGGGTATTTTTTGCTCATTTACTTTTAATTGCACTCTAGATCTTTACTGAAAAATTTGGGGGTATTTGCCTGTAGGTATGGTATAAATTCCTACTGTTTTTCTTGTCAGCGTATGTAATTGTCCATCTTGTTACACCTTTCATGTCCTGTTAATAGGGCGTTAAACCCAATACATTTCCTTTGACTACCTTCACATCCATATTTCAATACATCTGTCTGTCCTTTGTTTTGTTTCTTTAGCTACTGAACAATTTATTTATGAGTGTAAATTGGTAATACTTGGCATGTGAAGGGCATACAAATGTATATTATTTCACCTCCATTGTATTCTTGTTAGCATTTGTGATGGTATTAATTACAATTCCTGAACAGAAATGTGTTACATACCACTGCAAGTGTTAAAGAGATGTATTTCAATCCTTAAAAGGCCAAATAAGAAATATTTGATGTTTCTGCTAACCCTACCTAACCTAAACTTTTTAGGGCAATTTTTCTCTCTGGTTTCTTGGGTCTTGTATCAAACTGTTCATCTCCTTTCTAGGCAACTAAGCTTTTTCTGTGGTAAACATTTGCATAGCGGTCAGGTGACAAAACTCAGTCAGAAATAATTCAAGACATTCCAAAAAAAGGTTGAATTTGATGCCACAGTATGATCGCATTGGTCCCCAGTTATCAGTACATATTGTTTGATTGAAAGATTCCAGTTTGATGTGGGATAGTTTCTTGTGTTATGCTTTACCTTATTAGAGATAGGAAGTTTATTTAAAAGCTGTTCAGTTAAAATATTTTTCTCTAGGCAAATTATTCTTAAGGACCATAAAGGCATGGAGTCATGATAATTGGTTGTTTTCCAAGACTACATACAGTATGTATGAATATGGGTGTTGGCAGTTTAACATAATTTGGTGTGAAACCTCCCTCAGCCATTAGAAGCCAAAAGATATATTTCATTATACATGTATAAAAATCATCTCTAACATTTTCTTTTTTTTAATCCACAGTGTCACCTGAGTGAATTGATGATGGAAGTCTTTGATGAACTGGCGTGTTTGAAAGAGAAGTTGTAGAAATATAATGTTAAATTTTAAACTAACAGTACATATTGTGTATTTTGAATGTGACCAAATAAATTTGGAAAAAAACTATCAGCTGTTGTTGTCATTATAATTTTCACTACACCAATGGATCTCACTGTATGTAATCTGGATATTTTGTCAGCATCCTGTTGTGTAGGCCAAATTAGCATTTTGAAGACTGAATTCCTTTGTATATGCTCAAAATCAAGCTGTACCAAGCTTAAGTTCACCTGGCATGAAAATCCTGTGATTTTATGTCACAGCATAGTGTCTGTGGTCCATCTGTTGTCCACTTTTTAGCCTGCCATCATTATTTCTTTTTCAAATTTCATGTAAAGGTTTCATTTTGAAAATGATGGAAAAATTGAGGTGCCCACCACCATCTTGAATTTTACAATTCAAGTATGTTAACCCTATTTCTCCAAATTGAGCAGATGGGTCTTTCTTCTCAAATCTCAAATAGCAGCTATAATGATTTGACAGCTCAAGTTCATTATCACCATTTCTTCAGAGGTATTTGACTGACCTAATTGAAATTCATATGAAGGTTCCCATTGGTCTTGAGATTTGCATGTTCAATTTTCTGACCAATCAGAAGAACAAGATGGCTGCCAAACTTCCATGTCATAGCTGTCAACTCTCCCTCATTTTGACCACAATTTACAAAACTCCCTCATTTTTGCCACAATTTACCACTCTCCGTCAAAACTCTCTCATTTTGGCCACAATTTACCAATCTCCCTCCAAACTCCCTCATTTTGACCACAATTTACAAATCTGCCTCAAAACTCCCTCATTTTGGCCACAATTTACCACTCCCTCAAAACTCCCTCATTTTGGCCACAATTTACCAATCTCACTCCAAACTCCCTCATTCAAGTTTAATCTTACATAAACTGAGAATCTACATCCTGTGGTCAAATGATCTCGTTTCTGCAGAGTGTGTAATTGTGTGTGATCATAACATGTCTGCCTGAACAAAATGAATACTTTGTGGAGTTATTTTGATTAATAAAAATGGAAAGATAAATTAAGCAAAGCAGTTTCGGTCACATTTCATGCACTTTCTCCCTCTTTGGAAATGTGGAATGAGTGATATCTGCTTTCAGTGGTCGACACCTATATATATGCCATCTAGGATTTTCACAGTTCAAGTTTTTGAAATGACACCTCACTTTGAAAGACGAATGTCCAACACATTACCGGGTTGTATGAAATTCTGATAAAAAAGTACCACAAGATGTATTTACTTTTGACTCGACTCAATCCAACAGATAAAAGATCAAACTTACATAGAACCAATGAATAGTTTACGATGGTGGATGCTAATTGGACCCTACGTCTGGGATTACTTGGTATTGTACACGACTTCTCGATAACCTCTCGTCTGATGTCATGACACATGGAATGTAGCATACTGGGGTGAGAGCTGTCGAGTATATGAACCCAAATATTCCCAGAAGTGACTGTAATGAACGACATAACTAGCTTTGATTATAATTTGTAAAAAAGCTCATTGGGATTTTTCATCATAAGAATAAGAAATGGTATTGACACAGTGAAGAAATAAAGACAGTATTGCATATTAGTAGATATTTATTCAAAATTTGAACACATGATCTTGTGAGTACTAAAAGTATAGGATGGATAGTGACAACACATTAGATTAATTATTACACCACCTTGTAATATTTGTAACATTGACATATATAACAAATACAATTTTGTGCTTGTATATGAATTGTAGGAAGCCATCTTCTTGTTTTTTGTAGACTTTTAAAAAGAATTACTAAATGGTTTTACCAACAGCCCACATAGATTTGGAACTGTACTTGTAATTTGTATATATTATAACTGATTTACTGTCACAAACCTTTGTCTAATAAAACAATGTAACTGGGGGCTTGGATAAAAACCAACCAACCTCACCCGGAAATGGAAATGGCTGTCAAAAGTTGAAAAGTTTGACCTTTGACCCTTGACTGATAATAACCACAATCTAGTTAAATGAAAACCTCATTGTCATCATACCATGGTGTTAATTTAATTTAAATATGCTGAGGGAATCATAGAAAACCTTAATCAACAGATCTTTGCTATGGATTGACATTTAGAAACACTGACAGAGACTGTACCACCCTCACCATCTACAAAGAAGGTTATGAAATACATGGATAATTTTACATGCTTTGATAAGTGGCATTTTGCTTTTCAACACCTAAATGCATATATAGTAGTCATTTAGTGTTTTCAAACAAGACTACAATATCATCGTGCAATAAAATTGTCTATTGAAGTTTTACTGTCATTTTTAGAAAAATTGCAAAATTTCTTGATGAATGACAGTATCACAAAACAGTCATCAACTAGTTTACAACCTAAAGAATCAAATGAAAGATGATAAAACATAATTAATGGGGGTATGGAGGATATAATCTTAAAATCTTGTGAAAATATAGCGATCAATAAATAATGAACATGTAAATATCTACATTGCACAATTTCACTATTGCCTATCTTAAGAATTTTTTTAAAGATAGAAATAGTATTTGTTTTTAATGTTTACTGGTTGAAAGTACAGCACCTTGGAACCACAGGGACCTGAGAATTTGTTTCAGCTATATTTGGACCTAAACTAAGGTGTTTAGATGACTTTCAGTAGATATGACACCCCAATGATTATATATACGAGTAAATATTTATTTGGGTTGTCATTTTTACCCAAAGCTGATCTAAACCCATAAAACATGTCAAATTACTCTGAGCATCTTAGTTTATGTCCAAATATAGCTGTAACAAATTATCGGGTCCCTGTGCGTGGAACCTGATGTCCCTTGTCACGTTCTCGTCGACTGTTTTAGACGATTATCTCCCCTTAAACACATTGGCGCGTTAGTGATAGACATCCGCCTAAAATTTTGAGGTTTTTCTTCGGTACTTTTTTGGTCGAGGAGGCCGTTCTGAAACAGTAGAAACAAGAGTCAATTTCATTCAACTACTGTTAGCATTACAACCAATCACTCAACACAACGAGATATATATTATAACTTCACAAAATAATCAGTAAATAAAATTACATAACATACCTTGTAGAAATCATTGTTCAAGAGAAAAGGAGGCGGATATGTTTTAAGTTTATAGAGTATACATACGTCATTTTGACGTGCAGCTTGATAACATATTCCATTCCGTCTCAACTAATTTGATTTAACTTCATACCGTCAGTGTGTAAATGTATGAATTCACAAAGTGGTCACGATTCTTCACTGTTTTAGGGCAGGCATTTGTCTTGACGAGCTTTTCTACGATGTCACATTGTAACATTCTACAGTAACGGTTAACTCTGACGATGTCACATTGTGACATTCTACAGTAACAGTTTACTCTGACGATGTCACATTGTAACATTCTACAGTAACAGTTTACTCTGTCGATGTCACATTGTAACATTCTACAGTAACGGTTTACTCTGACGATGTCACATTGTAACATTCTACAGTAACGGTTTACTCTGACGATGTCACATTGTAACATTCTACAGTAACGGTTTACTCTGACGATGTCACATTGTAACATTTTACAGTAACAGTTTACTCTGACGATGTCACATTGTAACATTCTACAGTAACGGTTTACTCTGACGATGTCACATTGTGACATTCTACAGTAACAGTTTACTCTGACGATGTCACATTGTAACATTCTACAGTAACGGTTTACTCTGACGATGTCACATTGTAAAATTCTACAGTAACGGTTTACTCTGACGATGTCACATTGTAACAATCTACAGTAACGTTTTACTCTGACGATGTCACATTGTAATTTTCTACAGTAACGGTTTACTCTGACGATGTCATATTGTAACATTCTACAGTAACGGTTTACTCTGACGATGTCACATTGTAACATTCTACAGTAAC